TGTTGTACTTCGTTCAGTTGCGTATTGCTCTCGGCGTACATTTGCTGGACCCTGTATATGGAGTGTCCTATTTAGTTAGTGGGTTTTTTTGGCTTATTCGTAAAAACTTCCGATTTTTACGAACATGAGTTACATTTGCTAGCCCATTTAGTATTCTCGATACGGGGCGAATTTGAAAATGTGGCAATGTCAGACCCCCTCATATCACGGTTATTTATGTTTATGATTTTTTTTTTTTTTTTTTTTTTTTTTTTTTTTTTTCTATTTTGAAATTTTTGACCAATGTTTATTTTTAATTGGGTTTTTTTTTTTTATTTATTTCATATTAATTCGTCCTTTTTAACAAGCTTCTCCTTTTAAGATTCCCTTGCAAATATACAGGGTGTCCCCATTAATATAGAAAACAAAGTAAACATTAGTCAATACTTTTTCTATAAAATTCATGAAAAAACTAAAATAAGCCTCCTGGGTTCTACTGTAAATAGTTTATAAAAATGCGTTTTTATCTTTTTGACATATCAGGCTAGTGAGATACGAGGGGTGTCTGAAATGTAACATTTTATTATCATCTTTAGCATGGAAACTGCGAGGGCTATGTTGGTTTCACTTAAATGTAACTCAAGTTTGTAGAAACTGTTAGGTTCTATTAATAAGTAAAAAAAAATTCAAAGATAAAATTGAAGAGCAGGACCGTATAAAGAAAAGTTCAAATGAAAGTTATAGTGTTCAATTTTGGTTGCAATTGAGGATATCTCGCTCATAAACATCCTTGAGCTAAATAGTCATGGCCTCCTTAGACATTAGGAGTTTAGGAGACTATGACTAAAGGCTTGTTAACACGGTCCAAGTAGGTGGATAAATTACACTTAAGGGGCCATATAGAATGCTCTTGCCATGTATTCTACGCGCGTGGCTTGTTTGTACGCTGCTTGTATCTTATTAACTGTTTTTGTCAAGTGAGTTGCAGGGCTTGCCAACATCCAAGTAAGTCGGTAGCAAGCCTACTTACTGGGATGTTATGAAGTTCTCCAACTCGACTTTGAGAATATAACAGTTGATATGAACCATACAAACGCGTACGTAAGAAGCGCGCAACATCTTTATAAGTATATTTATATGGAAGCATCCAAGTGTATTTTGATCGAAGTACATCTGTACCGTGTCAGCCGGGCTTAATGGAGAGATAACCCTCTTTTGCAACCACAGTGCGATGTATACTCTTGTACATAGTAGGCACTTTTCATCATCCAGTATAAAATAAATAATCATTGTTTAAATCCATCCTTCTCGAATCTGTGTATGTAGTAATTTATTATAAATAAATAAACCTATTGAAATGAAAATAATTGTTTTATTTTAAACTTGTGCATGTGGCGCCCTCTGGTGTTAATGCCCGGAACTAAAAAAAATGCTGGTAGCGCCCTCTGGTATTAATGCCCGGAACTAAAAAAACGCTGGTAGCGCCCTCTGGTGTTAATGCCCGGAACTAACAAAAATAGTAGCGCCCTCTGGTGTTAATGCCCGGAACTAAAAAAATGTTGGTAGCGCCCTCTGGTGTCAAAGCCCGGAACTAACAAAATTAGTAGCGCCCTCTGGTGTTAATGCCCGGAACTAAAATGGATAGTAGCGCCCTCTGGTGTTAATGCCCGGAACTAAAAAAGGTAGTAGCGCCCTCTGGTGTTAATGTCCGGAAATTAAGTGCATATGTACTTTAGTTCGGTACATTGACACTAGGGGGCGCCACATAGACTAGTGAGCTTAATAAGTTGTTTACTATTAAAAAAAACGAATATTAATTCATTATTTTGCGTATATTTGGAACATAAAATTTACATTAAAGAGAGAGAATAAGGTATTAAAATTTACATTAAAGAAACAGGTATTTTTGACATGTTCTAAGAACACGTTGTAAGTTTTGCAAGTTCTAAAGCCTGGTTGACTTAGACTAAGTTACACTTGGATGCTGCCATAAAAGTATACTTATATGGATGCTGTGCCCGCCTCACTTGTAAGCTGATTCTATTTTATCAAAGTCGAATTGGAAAGCTTTGTAGGATGATATGAAGCTTTCCAACTCAACTTGGATAAAACAGTTGATACGATACAAACAGCGTACAAGTGAGATGCGCGCAGCATCCATAAACTACACTTATATGGCAGCACTTGAGTGATGAGTGATTAATTTTGAGCAGCACCGTGTAAACCGGCCTTTAGAACGCGCTGCCTCTTACAGCAAGTTCTAAAAAGTAAGAACTTGCTGTAAGTTTCTTACAGCGAGTTCGTAAAACGTGTCTGCTACAGGAAAATAAACAACAAATAAAATTTATCGCAAAAATAAGGCGTCAACGTTGGCTTGAAAATGGCAATCGATGATGTTTTATATAAAAATCAAATGTCATCAACCCAAAAATCAAATGCCATCATTATAACTCTAACGCTGTTAACTCTAAACGCTACGCTCCAAACTACATATTTTGATTAATAAAGATAGAATCTTGCGGTTTGTGTAAATTTGAGTTACTTTTAAGCGAAATCAACATAGCCTTCTTAATTTCCATGCTACAGGACGATAAGAAGAAGACTGCCCTCGTATATCGTCAGACACCCCTCGTATATCGTTAGCATAACATGTATACGAATCGTTCATTATCTAATACCATCTAATTTTATCTATCAAGACCATGTTTAGTTAATTTTTAAATAAGATACCCTGTATATTTGATAAGAACTAAATAGATCACTTGAATGGATTAATCAACACCGTTCAAAAATATACAGTAAAGAAAACAAAGAAAAAATATATAATCATATAATCACAGCCAAGGGGCAGCATTGTGTGCATGGCCTTTTGCAAATATTTAGGAGACTAATATAAAATGAATTTTTGGAAGCTTGTAAAAAGACAAATTAATTTCTAGATAAATACACATGAAGTGTCCTATTTAAAAAAAAACTAAACAATGGTCGATATTTCACAAATAGAAATATTAATAAAAAAAAATAGAGAAAATATTTTTTTTGTCCACTGTTTATACCACTGCTATTATAAAGTCTGTTAAATATTGGACAAAGTAAATTGCTAACCTGTACAGGGTGTATAATTTTCATTCGTTCGTGCTTTAGGGAGTTTCTAGCTTATGAACGCAGATCGAGAAAAAGTTGAGATTCTCGCAATAGATGGTTTCTTATTGATTAATACAATTCAATTACAGATATGAGGAAGAGGACTGTGATAAGTGTATTATCCCAGCCCTCTTAGTTCTAAGGTACAGTAGTCTGAAAAAAAAATAAAAACAGAAGCATAAGTTTTTTCTTAATATTTTCATCACTCACCCTGTATACTTGTCAAAAAAATTATCTTCGTCCTTCACAAGCTTTCAAAATATATGTAACAGTATATTTTAGTAAAAAGCTGCAGAATTAATAATTTTAAAATAATACAAATAAAAGTCTACATAGGACCATGCTAAAACAATGCTGCTATTATCTTTTAATTGGCGAAAACAATTTTGATCTACTTAATTTTTAAATGAAAAGTTTAAACAATAAAGAACTAAAAATACAAATACAAAGAACAATGAGATAGGATATAACAAAATTTGTATTAAACTGTTTTACCTCCCTAGACAGCCTTTTACGATTATTTGGGATATTTATAGGATAATACAAGGATGATGTTGGGAGCATTATAGAATATTTTTAGGACATTATATGAGGACTGTTATTTGACAATACTTACTTCATTCTTAGTTTATAGTAAAAACGTTCGCGATTTAGTTTTATTTAGTCACATTTTGACGTTATTCATGGATATTTTTATTAACAGCTCTAAAATATACCCACATATTATGTCAATGAATTTTGCGTCAAAATTTAGAAGTTTATTTGTATGAGTTAAGAGCTTTCAATTTATACTGTACCATCGAAAAAAAAACGGCATTCAATTGGCTTGAAAATTACAATCGATGCCATTCCCCATATAATTTTACATACAAAATAACAGCAATCTTCATTTCCAAGCCAGCTCTGACGCCGTTTTTTTTTCGATCGTATGGTATACCAGATTATACTACCCTTTATGGAGTCTAACAGTTTATGTCTAGCAGCAACAGTTTACATCAAAGTTGGCACACAGGATACAGGTATAATTTCTAACACCACACATTCCAGAAACTCACAATTTAAACACAAAAATAGGATTTGTGTTTGAATAGATCTAACACGAAAATGGGTTTAGGGATAAAGAACAATCGCGTTTCAACAAATTTTCACTTATAATTTTGTCACAAATTTTTCATTGTGAGACCCTGAGTCGTTCGTCGTTTTTCGATATTAGTTGAGGTTAGGATAGAATTTCTGCTAGAACAAGGCTAGAACTATGAGTATAAGAAAAAACTAAGTCAAACTCAACCAGTTTTGTTAGTTTCAGTCATTTTTAAGCCCATTTAATATCGACAAACGACCGAATTCACCTCGAATTTCACTAAATCAAAGAACTGAATAATACACGACGCAAAAACAAACTGTCGAGATGGATTGTGGGAAATTTTTTGCGCGGGCGTTTTAAATTCTCTGTATTACTGGGAGTGGCCAAGCTCATAAATATCCAGATTATCCAGAAGATACCAACAGGATATTTTGTTGCCTTGACGTAATATATATCTATCTGTAGAGTTTATTGCATTTTATGTAATATAAAAAGTAGTACATGATTTATTTTTCCTAAATATCTAGACGATATTGTTAGGATATTTTATTATCATGAGCATGTTTGGATATCTCAGCTGGATGTACATTAGATATACGACAGAGATATCCATAGGATATTCTATTCTGAGACATCTACAGGATTTTAGGATGTGTGGAGGATATCCTATAGATGTCTTTATAAGATGATCTTATAATGGGACATTCCGACATTCTATGAATATCCTGCGGATATTGTGTGTTATATGGGAAATAAAAGTCTACATAGGACCATGCTAAAACAATGCTGCTATTATCTTTTAATTGGCGAAAACAATTTTGATCTACTTAATTTTTAAATGAAAAGTTTAAACAATAAAGAACTAAAAATACAAATACAAAGAACAATGAGATAGGATATAACAAAATTTGTATTAAACTGTTTTACCTCTAATTAAAAACTGTGACTTATGGTGGCTTATGAGAAGATACATTAATTTCCTGAGAAATATACAGGCTGGCTGTCCCATTAATAGAAACTAAACATTGGTCGATATTTAAAAAAAACTATTTAAATTATTTAAAGAAATTAAAAAAGAAGTTCCATAGCAATATGTTTTAAAATTTATTGATAAGTTGTCAGACTACTGGAATAGGAGATGTATCTAAAACTGTAACATTTTCAAAATCACCCTGTATCACAGAAACTAAAAGGGGACCGTGGCAATTTTATTTTTCATAAAAATCAAGTTTATAAAAATCGCAATGTCCTATCCTTACTAATGAGCGAGAAAACTCAATTGGACAGTCTGTACAACATTATTGATTGATAAACTTTTCCTAGCAAGCGTCAATACTTTCAATAAAGCACACAAAGTGGAAATGATAAAATGACGGGAAATACACTCATGAGGAAGTGACATTATACCATTCACATGGGTATACCAAACATTGCGTTATAATTTAGAGCATAGCCGTTAGTTTTTCCTTGATTACAATTTAAATAAACATTTTAACAATGGAAGTTTTTACAAGGTTTGTTGTTTATTTTCCATTTAAACTAATATAAAATTAAAAATTGCATAAATTAATTAATCGCTAATCGCATGAATTAAAATTATACAAAGAAAATTGAAGTGAATAGTTGATAAATAAATAAAAAACATATTAAATAACAAGGTAAACTTCTAGTTAACTGAAAGTTTAAATGGCTTTAATATATGCTCTAATATTACTGGCATATTTTGTAATAAAAAGATTGAAGTGAAAATCTTAAATAGAACACCTAGTTTATTTAACACTGAGCCACCCTGTAGTAATTTAAACGATTTTTTTTAAATTGAAATTTGAAAGCAATACTTACTTAGAAAGCAATAAACAAATATATTAATTATTCAACTAATTTTAACTTTTAAGGTGTTTGAATTAGTAAGAATCGATTAGGCAACCAGTTAAACTAAAATTTAAAGAAATTGAGATAACTATTTTCAGATGATTTTTCTATGTAAAATTAGCTTTATATAATTAATTTACGCAATTTTCTACTGGAATACAGTGGTGGATTAATCATTACACAGTTACAAATCTTAATCCCATCACTGATTAAATATTTAAAGATTCCAAAACTACCGTTTACAGCCTTAAAATTAGTTCAGATAATTGATAAGTGGTAATTAAATAAATTATTCCAGAAAAAGCTTGCCAGATGCATACAAAACAACAGTATCAGCTCATAAGAATGTTATTTAATGTAATTTATTTGTGTAATTTGAAGGAGTAATTACTTAAGAATAATTTTTTTAATATATTCTACTTTCAAATATCTGGATATATTTAATTTCTAAATATTCACAATGCCACAATTTTGTTATTTATAAAGTATATTATTATAAAATTAAGGGTGTTTTATTTAAATAGCAGAGAAAGACATTATATTATATTTAGTTACCAACATAAAAACTATTTTAGTATAATTTGTTTTGATCTTCTGTTATATAAAATATTTTCAATTAAAAAAAATACGACTTTATAAATTTGTGAAAGCTTTAAAAATGTACAGGAAAAATCTAAAAACAATAGAATTAAATTTTGAATTACATTTCATTTAAATACTACCAATATAAAGCAAAAATATATTAAAAACACCCTGTGTATATCTACGAACTGGCTTTAAAATATGGTCTACTGTAACCCGTATGTTTTATAAAAAAAATTCAGTGAAAATCTTAAACTGAAGAAGTAACATGATTATTTTTGGAACATTGGGCCACTCTGTGGAAATATAAATTATTCTTTTTTACCTACTAAAAAAAGATTCTTAATTAGCTGATTAATTATTAGACATGACAAAAAAATATTTAAAATGAAAAAAGAAATGACTGTAAACCTAGTGCTCGGAATCTCTAAAATGCTTACAAAATGTAGATGTATACAAAACATTTTTATAACAAAAATACAGCAACTACAACAGATAATAACATTTGTACAGAAATAGTACAATATTATCGAATAAAAATGGCGTCGGCGATGGCTATGAAATGAAGATCGCTGTCATTTTATATATAAAATTATATGGGAAATGTAATTGATGTTCATTTCCAAGCCAACTGGACGCCGTTTTTTTTTTTCGATCATACGGTATATTGTTTTATTAGGTGTAAACATTATACTTTTTGCGGCGAAACACTAAAAGTCAATTTTACTCCCAATAAAACATGCTATTTTTTTTAAATGTCACAAATAATGTTTTTAATAATTTCATTTCACATTTTTTAAATAATAAGAACATTACCACAATATTACATAAGAATCGATTAGGCAACTAGTAATACTAAAGGTTAAAATTCATGTATTTATTTTCAATTGAACTCTTCTAAAATAATTAATTTATGCAATTTTGATTGGATTACAGTGGTATATTAACTAGAACATACATTAAAAAACATTGCATTTAAAAAAAAACAATTTTAGTATAAATATACTTGAATCGCACAGTATATTCTACGAAAAACAATTTTGAAATGTGTGCTCACAATATATTTGTTAAAAAAATTGAAATGAAAATATTAAAAAGAAAAATATTTTTATAATGAATGTATTTTTTATGAAAATGTTAATAAAAAAAAGCTTTTGCTCTTGTAAAGACGTGCTGAGGACATACTGTATATAAAGAAAATTCTGCACATAAAAAAGAAAACAATGCATGAAGTGCATTGCTCTCTGTGTTAAAGAAACAAACTTTATCACTAAAATTTAAGTACAAAATAGATATAAACATAAATGTTTTAAAATCATATAAATTGAATAAAAACATCTGTATTAAGGTACCAAAAATAATTCTCAAAAGCAAAAAAAAACTATATGAACACAAGTATCCAAAATTGATTTAGTAAAACAAATATTTCAAAAAAAAAATAAACACTAATAAATCATTCCTACTGGGTTGACATTGGTATTCAATAAATGAAAAAAATATTAAATTGACCGTTAACTATTAAATTACCATCCGGTTGAAGATATAGTTAGTTAAATTCTACAAAATTTAGTTTTGCGTTAATACAATAAATTAAATATTAAAAAACATAAACTTTAAAACCAAAATAATACTTGTGTTCATAGGGCTATAGTGACGCAGTGCAAGTATAAAAATTGTAATTTTGATAATTTGGAATAAACTTAGAGAAGCTAAGAAAATATAAATAATACAAGATAAAAATAAATTGAAAATGATACAAGCCTATAAAGATTGTTTTTAAATTCTTTTAAAAAATACCTTTGACGAAATCCAGAATAAAATATAGTTTTATTTAATAACAATTTAATGATTGAACTAATGGAAGTAAATATAAGATAGGTGAGATTGAAAAAAGCTTGAGATGAAAAATTATAACAGATTGGTATTATGTTGCTCAACATATCCTCCATAAAGATTATTGCATTGATTTGAATGATTTAAAAGTAAGCAAACATCCCTCAAACTAGAGGCAACACAAAGCATAAATATAAAGACAATATCAACAGAGATAATGGTCCTATTCATAAAATAAAGTGTATTGCTCTTAACTAGTGTTTTATATTGCAAAAACTTAAGAAAAAAAAGGTTTCTATCCAAATTATCAAAATTTTCCAAAAAATTAAAAAAAATACTTATAGTAAGAGGATAAAAACTAATAAACAAATTTATTGAAACAATAACACTATAAATGAAGCTAACGAACCTTGGTGAGGCATTGAGGAGTATTGAGTCTGCTTTATGTTAGAGAAAGAGGAAAGTGAGGAGTAGGAGCAACTGTTGATATCCATTGTTAAGAAAATACAGAGATATCTAAAAAATAAAATAAAAATAATATTAAAAAAAGGAATAAAACGATCTATGTAAAAATTAAAATAAATATATTTTTATTAATGCATGCAATAACTATGTTTTTTAAATTAATAATTTGTATATACCCTATGAGAAAAAAAAACAGCATTAGAGTGGCTTTTGAAATAACAATTGATGACAATTATTTCTGCCAGGTAGACCACAATATATATCATTTATAAAAAATTGGTATAAAAATTTATAAAAAATTAAAGAATGAAATGTTAAAAAAATTCAAAGATATCATATTTTTTAAATTAAGGTTTTCACCTTTGAATAATAATAATTGGTATGTTTGAAACCTTTTTCCTTTTTTTTCATTTAAATATTATTTTTGACAAGTTTTTATATCAATTTTTAATAAATGACATATAGGAATAGACGTTGACCTCAGAGACCTGTGCAGCTTGAATATTATGAAAACTTATCATAATTTTCAAGCTTGTCGATGAAATGTAGTAAGAAAAAAGAGATAAATAACTTACCATTGATAAAGGACTGCAACCACTTTTCAACAGCTATTAAGTACAGACCTAAATGGTCTTTCTGAGTCTTTTCCTGCAAGTTTCATTCCATTTAAAGCTTTTTGATGTCCACCATAATATTTGCAGATAGTACCCTTGTGAATTTTTAACAGCGTATACCTAAATTCCAAAAAAATATTAAATAAGTTTTTACTATACTAATTTTGGAAGATTTCTGAAAACAAGATTAATAAAAAGAAAACAAAAAAGATTAACTAAAATTTTATTTATTAAAATATATATATATATTTATTGCGTTTATTCTAGTGGTAACATTAATATATCGTCAAGGTGTGTGTGACGAGTTCTGTAATTTTAAACCAACCAGTTTTGAACAGCGATTGTTGACAATTTGGCGAAGGATTTTTTAAATAGTTAATTGTGTGTTGTAATCAGTATAAATTGTGTAATATTTTAATTTAAACGTATTTGGTATATGAAATACGTTTAAATAAAATTTTAATTTAAACGTATTTGGTGTATATGGTGCGAAAATAAATCCGTTAAGTTTAAGTATTTTATCGTGAGTTGTCAATATTTTATTTTGTCCTGCCTATTTTTAGTAGTTGTTGGCTTTTCTAAAATTGGAACAGAAGCGCTTGTATATATTTAAAAAATGTTCAAGCTGTCCAATGAAATTTTATAAGATAGATAAATAACTTACCATTGATGAAGAACTGGATCCCCTCTAACAACTATTAAGTAACAGCAGTTCAAAATGGTTTTCCTTGATTTCTTCTGCACAAGAGAGAGAGTTTCATTTCATTTAAATCTCTTTTATGACCACCATAAATATTAGTTGCAGCTAGTAGAACTTATTTGTTTCTAATAGCATAGTCCTTTCGTATACCTAAATAAAAAAATTAATTAAAGTTAAGTAATTTTTTATTATAGCAATTTTTAAAGCTATCAGAAACCAGACAATAACATAAATTATCTTAATATTTCTAGGAACAATCTAAAATAACAAATAAATAATACTCATTTTGTCAACATTAATTTGAATAAGTTATAAAGAGTTATACAAAAATTAAAAGAAATACTTTTATTGATAACTTCAGAAATAAATTAAAAATTGTAAATTTCCTTGATATGAAAGTAATACATTATTATAACGAGTTATTAATGACCAAAAAATTAAATATCTAATTTACTAGATATATACAGGGTGATTCCTGTAAGTCGGTCATGGTTTCGAGGAATAATAGGGGACGTCGAAATATTAATTTTGATATAGCACACTATGGGTCGCAAATGCCTCTTACGCAAGATACAGGGTGTTAAAGTTTTTGAAAGATTAAAGATATTCTTTAATAGTTTTTTAACAGTTGAAGGTATCGTTATAAAATTTTATTATAGGAGACTGCCTAACAGAGACACTTTAAATGTAAAAAGAAGAGGTTTTAGTTCCAACCAGTGGCGTAGCTGTGATAGCATCGAGTAATATTTTTAAAAAAAAATAGTACGCCACTGATAAAAATAAAAATTTCGAAGTTTTTTTATTTACGCGGTTTATTTCCAAGAAAAAATGTCTCTTGCAACTTTCTTCTATCTAACACCATTTTGTCACAATTTAAAAATAAATATTTTTTTAATGAGAACCTTAAATATGCGAATTATTATAACTACCTTAAAACTACAAATTACATTATTAACAATAAAAAAAAATCTAGTTTAAATTTATAATTTTTTAAAAATTTATTTAGAGCTAATAGTAAAAAGTACTAAAGTTACCCAAGATGAAGGGAGCTAACGATCATATGTGTTTCTGCCCTCTAGTTATTCGCTAATTAATTCGCTGTATTTAAGATTCTCATTAAAAAAATTATTTATTTTAAATCGTGACAAAATGGTGTTAGATTGGAGAAAGTTGTAAGAGACATTTTTTCTTGGAAATAAACCGAGTAAATAAAATAACTTCGCAATTTTTATTTTTATCAGTGGCGTATTATTTTTTTTTTTTTGAAAAAATTATCCGATGCGTATCACATCTACGCCACTGGTTGAAACTAAAATCTTTTCTTTTTACATTTAAAGTGTCTGTTAGGCAGATTCCTATAATGAAATTTTATAACGATTCCTTCAACTGTTAAAAAACTATTAAAGAATATCTTTAATTTTTCAAAAACTTTTAACACCCTGTATTTTGCGTAAGAGGCATTTCCGACCCATAGTGTGCTATATCAAAATTAATATTTCGACGTCCCCTAGCATTCCTCGAAAGCATGACCGACTTACAGGAATCACCCTGTATATATAAAAAATATTTAGCAATAACTTGTAAATTATTACATTTATTTTGGTGGTAACTTTTTGGTGGTAATAATTAAAAAAGTATATGCAACCAGTAATACACTCTTAGCATTGTTCAATTAACTTTTTTATTTTTTGAGCAAGAATATTCATTAAAAAAAATTATAGGGTTTTCTGTCAAGTTTTAATACATTTTATTGTTATTATGTATGTTATTACCCTGTAAATTTAAAAAATAGATAAAAATAATATACAAAAAAAAATCATTAAAACATCAGTTAAAACCTTCTAATTTCTTTTTTCTTTTCAATGAAAATTCTAGCTTCTAAAATAAAAAAGTTAAAACCTGTTAAAATTTAGGGCAAAATAAAAAACTAACACTGTACAAAATTTAATAATTTTACAGAATGTTCAAGCTTATCAATGCCAATTCATAAAAATATATAGAGGGTATTTCACGTAACTAGCTCATTAAAAGTGTTTTAAGATGAAATTTAGTCTAAATTAAACTAGTTATAGACTTTAGAGAAAAATATATACACTGAAAAACTTTTAATTAACCAGTTGTATGAAAATCTCCTCTGTATATAAAATGATTAAAATAGCTTACCATTATTAAAAGGTAACAGATGTCGAGCCCAACCCTGGCTCTATTAACTTTGCATCCTGAAACGACTGACATTTTTCTGTATCCAATCAAATATTTTCCTTCAAAGCTGCAACTTGTTCGTTGAGTTGTGATAGTAGCTGTCAAAATGTCCATTACCATCAATTTCTTCAGCTCACTAAAAGCACAAAAAAAAATTAAAATATAAAAAATTTAAATAGGTAATAAAAAAAATTATGACGTCAGTTTGTTCATACTAAATTTATCATAATTTTCAACCTTGTCAAAGAAATTTAATAAAAAAAAATAAAATAAATAAATCAGACGTCTAAATGCAAAACCCGAAAATTGAGATCTATAGACCATTTAATTCGTTATCCCAAGAGAAACTCTGAATTAAATTTTTATGCAAGATATTTTCAAGAAATAATACACCAGATAAATTCAGTCAGGTAGATTTATTATTCTTTCTACTATTCATAATATTTTAAATAATTTTTAGTGTATTTTGTAAAATTGATTTCAGTGGACTTGTCAGGTTTTGCCTGAAATAACTTACCATTGATGAAGGACTGCATCCACTCTAACAGCTATTAAGTACAGTCCTAAATGGTCTTTCTGAGTCTTTTTCTGCAAGTTTCATTCCATTTAAAGTTTTTTGATGTCCGCCATAATATATTATTTGCAACTAGTACTACTTGTTGACTTCTAACAGCAACTGTCCCATTGTATACCTAAAATTCAAAAAAAGTATTAAGTAATTTTTAATGAATCAATTTTTAAAGATTTTTGAAAACAAAAAAAATATATTAATATTTAGAACTTGTTTAGAACTATGTAAAATCATAAATATACGGCTATTATACCAATTTAAATAAGTCACAAACAATAAAGATCTTAAATGGATTCTAATAAAAAATAATTATAATTTTTATATTAATATTTGCGGTTTTAACGATCGAAAAAAATATAAATAAGGTATCTGCTGTACTAAAAATATCAAAATAAAAAAAATCAACTTATATTTACCATACCGTAATTTTATTGTGCCTATCTTATTGGAAACTTTAATAATTATTAAAACCAGATTTAAAAACTGCATTTTTTCCAAGATCGCTATATGCAACCAGTAATACAGTGTCTGTATTTTGTTTTGTCCTGCCTTTAATAATCCTTTTTATTATTGTTTTAGTTAAAAAAAAACAGAAAAAAATAAAGCATGTTAATATTGGACCAAAAGAGCTTAAATACGATGGAAAATTTAATATTTTTATAAAATTTTTAAATTTTATAAGAATAAGTTGAGAGGCATAACTTACCATTATTAAAAGGCAACAGGTGTTGATGCCTGTGTCCATTAAAGATTTTCCATTAAAACTGGAACTTGGACTGGAAACAGCTGTCAAAACGTCCATTAATATCAATTACCAATTTGTATTGCTTACTAAAAATACAAAAAATAAATAAGTAAATTTTTATAAAGTCAGTTTCCTCACAAATGTTGAAATAAAAATGTTTTTTTTAATATGTTAAGTAGATATTAAAAAAATAAACGCAATAGTAACTCTTTGAAATATTGTCAAATATTCATAGATTTTTACAAAAAGAAAACATACTAAATAAAATTAAAATTGTCTGATACAAATTTGTAAATAACTACAAAGATTGAAAAAAATATATTAATATATTTTCAATCTCAAACTTATTTTATTTTGAATTTGAAGCCTACAATTTTGTAGTTAAATACAAAAATTGTAGCCTTAAAAAATAATAAAAAACTAAAAATAACTTACCATTTTCATAGCGCAATGGTAATGAAGGCCAATCAATCTAAGTACTATTGATTGTATGTTGAAATGGTCATTTGTGGGTAAGATTTTCAGTATCATTCCATTCAAAAAATTCCTCCGGCATTCATCAAACTTATGTACAGTTCTAACTCATTTGCAGATTTGTAACAGCAACTGTTAACGCCCAGTACATCACTCGAACAGATATCTAAAAATAAACAAATATTAATAAGTATATTAATTTGTAGCAATGTTAAAATTAAAATAAATAAGAAAACATTGTAATATCAATATAGATAGGCAAAATATAAAATTAAGTTGATTTGAATAAAAAAATTCTCCTAATAAATTTAAAAAAAATTAAAAAGTTATTAAAATATACATATTATGTGTAAAATATGTCATAACTTCCAAGCTTTCCAAAAAGATTTAATAGGAAAGAAAATAATGTGAAAAAAACTTACCATTTTTGAGAGATATCTGCGATGTTGAAGTCAATTTAATGTCCTGTATCTACTGTAGAATAAACTGGTCATTTGTGAGCCTTTTCCCAGTTTAAATTATGTCAAAACTTCTTTGGTATTTCTAATAATTCATCCATGTTATAACAGCTGCCATTCTAAATTTCCACCAATAGCTATGCTTGTATAATACATAAATAAATAAAACTTGATGTCCAAGATACCCATAACATCTATAAAAAAAAATAAAAGTTGTGATAAGTATTTATTTTTTGTAACTAGATGAAAAAATTACCTTAATACAGTTGCTCCAAATTTCATTCAAAAAACTTCCGTTGCAGCCAACAAAATCCTCAATATTTCCTCAAACATCTTCTATCTCCTTTCCTTCTATTTCAAAGCAATCCTCTTCCATCTTCTCTGGCCTCTTCTATTTTCCAAGTCTCACCAATTCTTATTCAACTACTTATATAACTAACTTATACAAATTTCAGGCGTCTTACAAACATTTTTTAAAAAGGGGGAAAAGGGATATAATGCTACAATAAACGACTACGCTAGCGCACCTACCTAAAAAAAACTTTTTTTAGTCAAAGAAAATGATAAATATAAAGTTATATAAATTTACCTGATGGCATCTAGAAGATGGCCCTAATCCTGCTGTTGTCCCTCAGCATTCCAAAGCAGTTTACTACTAAAAAGATTTATGCAGGAACAAACTGAATTTAATTTGAGAAACAAAAATAAATTACTAATACTTTAATTCTCATTATAATGTAAGATTACATTATTTACTAATTTACGTTTAATTAAAAATCACTATTATAAAAATTAAATAATATTATGAATTTTAAAATAAGACGAAAAATAGTTATTTCCAAATATATAATAGAAAAACAATATGCTATATACCTAATTTTGTGTCTTTGGAGTTATTTTTTTATTACCATTATTGCTAAAAAACTTTATATTAATTCTTACCTTGTATAGAGTAAGAAAAAAAGTAAAAATGAAATATAAAAATTGCAAATTAAAAAATGAGTACTTAATGCCACATTCTGTAAATGTAGGGAACCTAAAGTTACTGCTTTGGAACCACGACGCGAACCGACTTTTGAAGTTCTCCAAGCCATACTGTATCACCTGTAAGGGAAAAAAAATATATTAGAATATTTCTAACAAATACATATGCTAGAAAAAAACAAAAAACAAGCTATAGACAAAAAAAACAATCTAAAAATATTAAAACTCACCATCACATCTTGCTTAAGTTCATTTTCAGTCCCACCATAATAATTATACGGCGAAAAAAACAGTGGCGTCTCACTGCTATAGAGCACATCGAATGCCCCCAACTCCATGGACTTCGGTCGATCCTATAGAGTTGACAATAAACACGTTTTCCAGGTATTCGACGGTGCCTGGAACAATCCGAATTTTTTTGGGACTGATCATATGCAGCATGTAGATAGAATTTCTGACTTCTTCAATCTTGTTTTTTAAAATCGCGCTGCGAACCCGGGTTGACTAAAAAAAATGAAAAAAAAATTAGTTATATAAATAACTACAAGTTAAATTAGAATTTAAACATATCTAAGTTTTAAAAAAGTTGCTCTAATTACTATACAAGTTATTCTACTTTAAATTGAAACTCATGTATGTTGTAACAAAAAAAAATAAAATATACAACACTTATATAAAAAGAATTTTGGTTGCTACATGGTGCGATAAAAAAGTTATTTGGTAGAGAGACCAGTAAAAATTTACAATTTAATGTAATATAAAAAAAATTAGACTTACTTTTAACAGGTTTAAGTTAGGCCTGGTTATGCTCGCCTCCTACCGACATTTTCTGCCTTCAAAATTCGACGTGGGGCAGACCAAGAGAAAAAACAAAAAAAAATTCCACGACCCGCCTGCGAGTGTGTGCTGGTTGCCTTCCTTATGCAGATTCGACCCATTGGTCGACGATTAAGCCTCACCAGTCAGTTCCCATCCCAATTAAGCCGCCTCGTCTGGGGTCACCCTCGTCACCCGTCGGACGGACATCCACCGGGACCCCCTACAGGCGGACCCCCTCATCATCTTCAATGTGTCCGATATCCCGCCCCTGCCTCTTCGAGGGTCACGGAATACGTGCACGAAGAAGTCTCGGAGCTTGGGTGCCAGGTCGTATCCGGCCGAAGCCTCTAGCATTAGAACACCTAGCTCGTAAACCAGAGGGTGGTGACTCCCTTGGGTACCTCTGCATGCTACACAGGTCATCGATGCCCGAACATCAGAGTTAGGGGATGACCCAAAAAGTCTCCTCTCTTGGGGAAGGCCGCGCCGCGCTCTGGAGTCATCTTAAGCCCGGGAATCCACACCGACAAAAACACTGTTAACCAACTGCATCAGCTAACGAAATTCACTAATGTTGAATTAGGAAATTTTATTAACCAACACAGAGAGCTAGCAATGCTCGTGTGAGTGGGGAAGGAGTGTGTGGTGTAGTATTAATATAACGCGCCTACAAAAAGAAAAAATATTGGGATACCTATCAAAATATTATCGAACACCTATAAAAATATTACGACAATATATAAATAGGTATATTTATTTTAAATAAAAAAAGAGATTCTCCATTTATACCTCAGCAATATTTTATAAGATTTTTACTTGATTATTATACCAAAAATGTCAAAAATATAAAGATGTTATATGATCTAGGGAAAAACGGAATATAAATTTGATGAATATGGTCAAAATCGAAAGAATTTTTCCATGATGTAACACATAAAAAAATAAAAATACACAAGGAGTTTTTAGAGTTGTAACATATTATTTAGAGCTAAAAGTTAAACCTACAGTGTTTCAAATAAATAAAAAATATTAAAGTTATATTTTTTTTAACAATAAGACATCCTATATATTTTATTACATTTTTAATTTCTACTCTGAAGACACACATTCGATCAAAATTTACCTCAAAATAATCATACTTACTGTTTTCGAAATATTTTAATTTTTATAAAAATTCAGTAACGATTTATTTCTGCAATGCAAATTTACAACTAATACTGAATTGGCAAAAATCATTTGTCAACATTAATACTACATTTTAACATGTAATATTACATAACGCGCTTTCGAGAGAAATATATTTTAAAATACCAATATCAGAAATCATTACAAAAATACTGAAACATAAATATGTAAGATTTTTAAATAAAAAAAATACGTAATAAAATTCCTAATGAACCTACCTATTTAAAACTTAAATACAAAAAACCTACTCATTCAAAATATTATTAAAATGCGCATATTATATTTTTAAAAAATAAAGAAAACTCTAAGTATACCCTATAAAAAGAAATTTAAAATAAAAATAGCAATTTACAAAAAATCAAGACATCGAATTCCAACAGGCGGCCATTTTATTTAAACATTCCTTGACCGAAAAAATTAAACAAAAAGTCAAAGTACGTAAAAAGTCAATTACGTAATTTACCAAAAATGTGGTACTATTATTTTACCCTTATGTAACACGCAGTATAGAAAGTACCGAAAATACATCGTTTTACATACCTATTTATTTATTAATCTACGTATATTATTTAAACAATATTCTTAAAATTTAATAACTTAATGGGGAATATTGAGAAGAAGGCTGCCATGATGGATATTGCGAAATCCAAAAATTTTAAACTAAAATATCTCAAAAAATACATAAAATTACGGGTACTCACTTTTTCAGGAGGCTAAGCAGGGCACTAGTAACAGATTACGCATAAATTGTGTACACTAAATGCACTTTTTCGTCAGAAAATTTAAAAATCGACGCAACCGACGAGAGGACGTGCAGATCCTTCGATTGCAAACGACTGGCAGGACCGGTGTTGCCAGATTGAAGTCATTCGTAAAATTTAAGCTGCTCATAAAATTAATTTATTACTAATAATAATATGTAATATTATTTATAGAAAAATTCTTGTAAATTAAGCTTAATTTTGAAAATACGTTCCACTGAAATCGTTTTTTTACGTAAGGCAAAATAATTTTATTATCATAAATAAGAAACAAATAAGTAATTGTAAACATAAACACACAAAAATCATGAAATAAACATAAAATGAAGCTGTTTAAATACATTTTTAATGCTATAAATACATCGAAACCAAGAATAAAGACTATAATGTTAGTATACATAATTACAAGAAGAAATAAAAGAAATTTCTACAAAACAACATTACTGGTACTTGTTTTACTAAAAATATAAATATAGAAATAACCCTTACTATAGTGCCAGTTCATGGTGCCAGTGATCATTTTAAACTAATTTAAACTAATATCATTTCACAAAAATAACATAGAGAAAAAGATTTTCGACATTTTTTAACAATCCGGCAACATCGAAGGATAATAAAATTCAAAACCTCCAGGCAACCGAAACTGACCAATCACGATCGAGAATTTTTTGCTCTTGGATGCCTCGATTTTAACTTTTTTTAATAAACATGGATGGTTTTTATTAAAATTTCGGTAGAATATGCTTCTTAAATTAATTAAATAATTTGTCTTTATTTGTATTTATTCCCTCCAGTATAAAATATCATACAAAACTTATTTTATATTGAAATTATCTGGTACGCACATAATTAGATGAACTATAAAATCATGCATTTCTTTAATATTTTAATAAATTATTAAGAAACAAGTGCTTTTATTCAACAAATATCCCTTAGTTTAATAAGAAACTAATTCTATATAGTTAAATAGTAAGAAATATTAGATAAATTATATGAATTATATAAAAAAATAACTTCATAAGTCTTTAACTTGACTCGATGTTGACAGCTCTTACCGGATGTATCTGTTCAACTTTTGACGCCACATTTTTCAAATTTGAAATTTAATTAAGCTGAAAAATCCTTTATTTACAAAAAAAAATATATTAATAAGTACAAATTATGATCGAAAAAACGGCGTCCAGTTGGCTGGGAAATGACGATTGAGTACATTTCCCATAAATTTACATATAAAATGACAGCGATCTTCATTTCATAGTCATCGCTGACGCTATTTTTTTTTTCATATAGTACGGTATTATTTATATTAACACGTGAACGCTTATTATGTATTTTCATAGTCAATAAAATTAAATAGAAATAAAATTCTAGATTCCTACAATTAATCTAATTGCTTAGATTATTTGTGTTATTATGCTACGTTTAAAAAGTGCTTTATTAAAAATTCGGAAAATTAAACGCGATATGTGTCCAAGTTTCTTCTTTTGTTAATTTTTAAATGCTGTAGCTCCATATCATGTTCATAATAAGTTTTTCTTAACATTCCATTAAAACTACGGAGGTCTTAAAATGGCCTTTTAACCTCCGTAATTAAAACTGTAGAATCACCTTCAGCAACATTAACAGTTACCTTGTTAAGATTTTTCTATTCTTACACCTAATTTATGCCATTTTTTTAACATATATGATTTATAAACCATATTTTTCCTAATAGAAGGATGGAAGGATATGCAAGATTAATATATATTCTAACATTTATTTTCCAGACAAAGCATAATATAGTATTAAGATTAAAACATAATTAATGTTAAGAAAGATCTTAATATAAATCACAAACTCACGTCTTAAGTTAGTCTAGTAAACACAGGTATAAAACTAATCAGATCAAAACTCAACCTTCACCATATTGTCAAGATTTGGCATTATAGGAAACAAGAAATTACAGTAAATTACGAAAAGAATATCAAAGTACACGATATTAAATACTGTAATGTATTTTACGACACAAACCATCTCCCTTATAAAGAGAAAAAGATAAAATATAAAGCTTATTTTAGTCTTATCAACACTCTTCACTCTTCGATAAAATATATGTCTAAAATTGCTATTAATCCACTAACTTGATATTTTTAAGAAATTATGATACAAACATAATCAAAGTAGGTAAAATGTCAAAAAACCTATAAAAAAAAGGTAAAAAACCTCTATCTCCCATTGACGTGTGTATTGTTCTATAAGAACTCGTCATGGTAGAACTTCAATACATCAATATATATAATCAAAACTATTGTTGCCTGTAAACAGAGATATAGATTTATAATTCTAATAAGTTTAAAACCATTAAGAAAAAATCCGTAAATCATAATTTTTAATTCTAATGTAAATATATAAATAAATATTATTATTACAATTTTATATACTCATAATAAAAACTCATAATACTTTCATTTCACAATTTTCATTATCCTGCTTACCTTAATTTTGGATATCAAGATAAATCTGAAATTATAAAATTAATTATAAAATTTGTATTTATACTGATTAATTAACACTCAAAAAAAAAATTCAACTGCAAGTAATTCGACAACAAACTGAAATTTGGCAATATCGACGATGTGCGCTTGCGTAGTATCGATGATCAAATGCAGTAAATATGGGCTTCAAGGTCAGCCACCGGATCCACACTCCACACCTACCCAAAATATTTCTTCTGGCCACAAACTGGCAAGAATGTACAGTATCCAGAGTATATCCAGAGGCAGCATGGATTTGAACTTTTGAACTATTTGCTAGCTTTGACCATAGATCAGGTAACAATGTGGTGTTTCGTGTCAAAGTCAAGAATGTCATTTGTCATTTCCGCAAGAGCCATCTTCCTTTTTCTTTTGACGTTTAGTTGGAAAAACACGCGGTTATAAATTATTGATAAGTGAGGAAAAGTAAGTTTTCCAGTTGAAATTATTTAACATATTCATTGCAATGTACATAAATATTGGCCTAAAATTATACACATCGGTAAGTTTGAATGGAAACCTAAATAACCTCAAAACTTTTTAGTATGGCACCTCGATATGAAATAGCTGTTGGCCTGCAAAAAGGCCACAAAACAACAAAAATTCCTACAGGAAAAACCAAGTCCGGCAAATTACGTCCCGCCAGGTTGAAGGGGATCCAAACTAAGCACTCGAAATTCGTGCGCGACCTTATCAGGGAAGTGTGTGGTCATGCCCCATATGAAAAACGCGCTATGGAATTGTTGAAGGTATAATAATTTATAATAGAAACATATTGAATGCTCAAATTACACTTAATTTATGTTTAGGTCTCGAAGGATAAGAGAGCTTTGAAATTCCTTAAGAGACGTCTTGGCACACACATCAGGGCCAAGAGGAAGCGTGAAGAATTGTCCAATATCCTTACTCAAATGCGTAAAGCTGCTACCCACAAATAGATTTTTTTAAGTTTCTGACAAAATAAACTTAATTATAAGTTTTCAATAGTTTTATTTCTTTAGAAGGATTAGAAAGGTCTGGGGTAATTACTATTTGGTTAGAAAATAAATGAAAAACTAACTCCTTTTTTATAACAATTTTAATATGCAACATTAGAAGCTTTATGAATACAGCTCTGAAATCTGAATGTAGCAGGGGTATGTAAGGGGGCTTTAGGCAAAGGTATAACGTTGCAAGTGTCTACCTTACATATAACTATACAAACGAAAGTGTAATTTTTTTAGTGAAAAATAATCTCTAGTTTCGTTGAAATTTGAAACAAGTATGAAAAATCGCTACATTTTTCTCATTAAAAAAACGACAACACAGAATAAAATTTCCACATTCTAAAATGCAAGCATCTAAAAGATTTTATTGAAAAAATACAAGAGCTAAAAAAAATTAAAAGTACGTTCTTAAGAAGAGATTTGCTTTATACACAACTACACGGAGATGCAAAAAAACGCTTTTTTGGGAACATTTTTTCGTCAAACAAATTGTTACTTCTTTTATTTTTTAATTTATATTCATGATTTTTTTAGCAAACTGTATATTAGCTTTAATTCATAAATTCAGTTTTTTTATTAGTATTGGGTTTATTATACAGGGTTAATCGGAGGGTTGTTTTTTAGCTTAACTTTAAAATACCCTGTACAATAATTTCGTAAGTAAATTTTTCTAAAAAAAAAACTTTCGGTCAGAACCATGTCTCCAGAGCATTTTGTTTATTGGCTTGTGTCAAAACATGCATTGGTTAATTTGTAAGAGCGAAGTTAACTTGCCACCACCAGTAAATTACAATTTTTTCAATCATTATTTTTTTATGTTATTTTTTAATATGAAGAGGTTGCAATTTGTGTCACAATACCTGGCAAAAGTTGAACATATTAGCAATATAACACAATATGATATAGACCGAGAGCTGGCTACATAAAATACTTCACACAAAAAATTAGTCATGTAACATAAGGTTTTTTATGTAGCCAGCTCTTAGAATAATATTAAAATTTGCTCACGAAATTATAGCACGGTTTTTTAAAATTAAGGTAAAAAACAACCCCTCGATAAACCCTGTATAATAAGCCAAATACTAAAGTTTGTAAACAAAATGAGTTTAAAAATTGAAGTTGACATATATGTATATACAGTTTGCTAAAAGAATCACGAAAATAAGGTTGAAAACAAAAAAATGTATAACACTTTAAAATTGACGAAAGAATTTTTTCGTTCAGCTTTTTTTTTGGCATCTGAGTGTATAAGGATACATCGATGCCTAATGCCCTTATATAAAGTAAAATTAATATTCCTTAACGTAACAAAAAGGGATAAACGAGAAAATAAATACAAAAACCCCGTGTTCAAAAAAAGTGCTAAAAATGACTTAAGAAAAAAGCAACACCCCCGCCGAATGAAAATATTTATACGGTCCTGGATACAGCCAGGGTTGATGTCAGTCAAAACAAAAACATAGACCTGATTTAATGCACGGTAACGATCAACCCTGCTATATACCTTATATTCAATTATTGTTATCGAGTACGTAAAATAATGTCTTGATTTTAATGACCGAATTTGAAAATAATCATATAAAAATCTGGTTTAAGATATTGAGACGGCTAAAAACTAAAAAAACGTTCACACAATTGAGAAAAGAATAAGTTTTAATGTAGTTATAATACAGAATAGCAAATCTGAACTAATAATAAAAAATACAATTGTGTTCTGTGTGCTTAAAATAACAACACCCTATGGAGTACTTATAAAACATATAAGTTATGTTAAAGCACTGACTTTTTTTGGGCATGTTTCTAGAGATTTTCTTTAGAATGTAGTTGGTTCCAGTCTGTTCGATTTCCTTAGTATTTTGATTTATGTACAAAATAATCAAATTAAAATAGAAAAATGCGTTTAATTTTTTGCTTTTCACTGATAGAAAACGGTATATAAAACAATATTTAATTTTACATAAACTTCTGTAGTCCTATCGGCAAAAAGAAATTACAGGTGGCTTTAATATTTCCATATACAGGGTGATTCACGGTCTAAAACATCACCGGTTTTCCATAAACTTTTAACCTACCGTCACTGTGAACTACCCTGTATATTTAACATTATGGAATTAGAGGCAGGAAATACGTGTGTACTTGAATAGTATATGCGTACGTATCTTTAACAAATTCAAAGAAATTAGACGTACACATTATACAGGGTGTTTCAAAAACATGTGCCATTTCTCGTGTGGAGATTGCTCACGTGAAAATAGCATTTATTTTTTATATCAACATAGGTCCGATTCTGCTTGGTTTCGTAGCTACAGGGTGTTAAAGTTTTAATATTTTTATATTCGATTTATTATAATTTTCTTCCAAGTACATGAAAGTGTCGACATATTCACCAGGGACGTGCATATGACTTATCAGTGGAATATTTTTCTAAAAATAGCACGTACGCCACTGACTTTTTTTTTATCTTGTTAGCGAAATATTGTAAGCAGTTTAATGCCGATTAAAAGTTGTCTACTAAGTTGTCTAATTTTTACGTGAGGAATCTCCCCACGAGATATGGCATGTTTTTTGAAACACCCCGTACTTCACACAGGTTTTTCATCTAAAATGCACCATGATTAAATATACTAGCCCTGATCACTTCATTTGCGTGGTCTGTATTTTAACGCACGCGACAGAGATAAATATAAATGACCGGTTGACAGACAGAGAGACAAATTAAAAAGCGGCATACGGTGTTGCCGGTTTTTACGTTTGTAGGAAAACGTGAGTAGAAAAAAATAAATTGTTTTAAAAACTTTCATGTATACTTCTGAAATGAAGATAATATATCTAGCTAAATATAATCTATTATTACAGCTGTAGTAAAATGAGTAACTAATTGTGAAAAATAAAGTTCCAATTTTAGATGCAACATTTTTCATAAACGCCTAATTGTGCGGTTTGAAATTTTGATGCAAAATCCGGCAATATACTGCATAGAGGAAATGTATCAACCTAATACAATCTTACACGTTAAAATCCAGACCACGCAGTTTCGATGACCAGACCGGTATAAAAGTCTGACTAGTAAAAAGGGTAGGTATCTCTCGACTCCTATTTTCAAATCACAAAAAACCGTTTTTCAAATAATAATTTATTTTAAATAGCCAAACAGGTTCGAAAAATTAAAACAATCTCTAATTTAAGGTAGACTATACGATCGGGTATCTTCACCTCAAATATAAGCAATAATATCCCTGTATATAAAACCAATCTTTATTTCTTTTTCAATTTTAATTCTTATAGTACGAGAGCTAGCAACGTCGGAAAAATAAGTATTTTAAGACGTCTGGCTCTTTGATATATCTTTTACTATGCTCTCTAGAACAGCATGCGGCCCGTCTGGCTACCGGTAAACGTTGCGTTCCCTACTGCGCATTGAAAGAAGATTGTATATTTTTTCCTTTAAATTCTAGTATTGAATAAATCGAACATGTCTCCATAGCGCAGTGCGTAGAGTTTCCGACTACGAACCGATGATTCAGAGTCCGAATCCGGGTCAGGGCAAAGACTTTTTTTATTTTATTTTCGTTTATATTCTGATAGTAAAGAATTAAATATTTGTTTTTTTTTAATTACCAGAATTATTTAATACTTTACTATCAGAATATAAACGAAAATAAAATTAAAAAAAACGTCTTTGACCTGACCCGGATTCGAACTCTGTTCATCGGTTCGTGGTCGGAAACCCTACGCACTGCGCTATGGAGACATGTTCGATTTATATTCAATACTAGAATTTATAGGACTAAATTAATAAAAAATATAGGATCTTCTTCCGATGCGCAGTAGTGAACGCAACGGGTATCGGCAGCCAGACGGGCCGCATGCTGTTCCAGAGAGCATAGTTAAAGATATATCAAAGAGCCAGACGTCTTAAAATACTTTCTCGAAAACGTTGCTAGCTCTTAGACTATTATATTTGTTGCAAATTAACAACACAACTTATAAGCATATATTTTCTATTAGTTTTTTTTTATACAAAACGTGTTTATACTATATCCCAAAGACCTCTTATTTTCTACTTTATACAACATATTTATATATTTCTTTTTGCCTCGTAACTCAGTCTGTTGCAAACGATTTGCAAATTTTGATCGAATGGAAATCAAGTATTGTGCCCGGGTATAATAAATACGTCTTAATTTAATTGTTTCGTTTAATCAAGTTTAAAAAAGGGTTGTTTGGACTAATCTACGCATTCTGGGCAGTAATCAGACGTTTTTATCAACTTAAAGATAAGAAAAATAAATAATATTGATTGTGGCGAGGAGATTTGAGACATGAAATTTTGAATACCAACGTTTCAGTACACCTGTTCCAATAAAATATCTCATTTAATAACTATAAGCTTTCTAAATAATTTAGAAACTTATTTTTATTTTTTTATTCTTTGACATTGTAAACATTTATAAATGTTTATTTTAAACAATAAGACTGACAATGTTATTTGTATACTTGTTTTGTATTCTCTTTTGTTTGTTTACTTTACCTTTGTCTACAAATTGTAAAATTTTTTGACAATAAAGGGATTTATTTATTTATTTATTTAATAATAATCTCATGTAAGCCTAAATAATTATGTAACGCCATTTAAGTCATTTTACTGACTTAAGTCGTTTTAAAACTGCCTTGTTGCAGCTCTGGCGATAACTGAGGTATTTCACTGGAACTGTGGTAATGAAACACCCGGTATATACGAACAAAATCTAGTATGGGAATTCGAATATATATTTGTTTTTTTAATGCACTTAGAAAAAAAAACTTTTAAACAGAAGAAAATGTTATCTCCAAAGAAATAAAATAAAATGAACGATTTATTTCATAAAAAAAGCAATAAAACCTTTATAATCAACATTTCTTAAGCCTAGTTTTCCATGTATACCAATTTCATAGATTTTCTGTGAAAAGAAAATGTCACAGATTTAACACACTTATCAAGAAGTGTTTTTTTGGATAATGACATATAAAAAAACAATCCTTATGGAAAATTACACTAGAACATGTCAAAGTCAAAACCGGTTTGAAATAAGTTACTTTATGTAATTTATGTAAGTAACGGACAGATTAAAAACATTTTTTTCGTCAAAAATTCTCGAAATTCGCACACACGAAAAACTTTCAACATATCATGGCCGTAAAGCAAATCTACCTCTGTGTATATGGTTTAATATAAAAATATTCTTCTACCCCTGAAGTTAAATAGAAAAAATAAGAAAACTAACCAAAATCCCTATCTAGAAACATGCTTTTTCCCTTAAGTATACAACATCTTGGTCTCATAATATGTGTTATTTGAATCTGGGGTGGGGAGAGTTCCACCCAGTTGGAGGAGGTTTTGACAAGAAAGTAACAATTCTTAAAAATATCCATGATTAGCTAACAGTCTTAAATTAAGTTTTTTATATATATAATACAACGGAGCGGCAGTATCTATCAGAAGTGATGAGTTTGAGTGAACACAAAACATATATCTTTTAAATTTATTTTGATGTGAAGGGCAGTCCTTGTGTGAACTACGGTTTCCTTTCACTTCTGATACGATCTTCAACCAACTCCATTTATTTTTTTATTACTCTATATATTGATCGTTCACATGAACTATTTTTTTTTAATTTCTAAAATTTTAGGTCTCTAATTTCTAAATTCCAAGATAGAGTAATAATTATAAAAAAATACGAAATATCATACAAAGTAGTTCAAATGAACGATCACTATATCGATGAAATTTAACGCCATTTTCATACTGTTGCTCTGACACAGAGAAAATCCTGTCACATATTTACAAACACAGCCTACGATAATACAGTATTCCAGTCGTCGTGTATACGCGTTATTCTCAACTAGTTCATTCTTGATTTGCGCGACTGAACTACCAACTCAACTGTATCAAAACGTTTGAAACGATATTAAAAAACCTACATGCAAACGGTACAAGGTTCGAGTCGATCGAATTTTGCTAAAAAATTAACATTTGAAATGAAATGTAAATGAGATCGAAATACGAGTATTTATTTTAACAACCTCACAGTATTAATATAAGTTTTAGTTCTTAGAAAGAGAACACCCTGTTTTGTAATATATACCCTGTTTAACAAAAAATTACTAATCACAAATTAGTTTATTATTCCGATACGAGTGATTTTTTTTGTTTTTAATTAAAAATGATATGCAACTGTCACTAATGTCATATATTCTTTTGCCAGACAGTCTGTATTAGGGTTTCCAAACTGTTATCTCGGTGTATGTTTTTCCCCAAAATCCCGATATTAAATCCCGGGATCCTGAAAATCCCGAAAATATGAATGCCCAATCTAAAATGATTCAACTTTATACACTTTAGTCTTTCACAGATCATATTTTATTTATAATAAGCAGAACGTCAATATCTAAAAGTTATATTTCAGTGTTTGCTATATTTTTTTTACAACAATAAATTGTATTTTACTTTATGAATATTTTAATAAAGCTTCTCATTTTCTATTTGATATATGTAGCTGCATTTTTATTAAGTATTTCTTTAGATTAAATTTCTCATTCTGATAGTCAATCTTGAGATCCCGATACCGAAAATTGGAAACCCTAGTCTATATACATATGAAATATTCTATTATAATAAAATCATTAAGATAAATTTTCCTTTAAAACTTTTTTAGGATTTTTTTTTAAACCTTTTAAACTACAATTCAAATAACTTATATTTAAATAAAGTAAAAATAGTAATTAATGACCTAACTTCTACTTTTTCTTAACATTTTAATTGATTTCTAATTTACAATGAAGAGGTTAAGTGAAATACAAAAAAAAACATTGCGCAGATATGGTATTAATATGTTTTTGTACACAATTCCTTATGCCAGTACAAGAAAAATAGTAACATACACTTTTATTTTAATTTTTAGTTGTTTATATTGATTATTTTATATTAATCAGAGTATAAAAGGCTTTAAAAATAACGCTCATCAATTTTTTTCAAAATATATGAACATTTCTAAAAATGCATTGGTGAAAAAACCAATTTAATTTTTGTTTGAATTGGGTCTAATAATTTTAACTTTTTAACAATTGCTTTTTTATCTAGACTTAACAGATATCTAAAACATACAAATGCCACTTCTGCACAAGTTCAAATTTAAATTATTTAATTTTTTTATCAAAATATCGATCAACGAACCTTGTATCTTTATTTTTGACACCACACTATTTAAAAAAACCGGATTGCAAGGCTTGCAACCGGCTCAAAATAATAGAAAACCTTTATCCTAAAATAAATATAAGTTAAAAATTTTGAAAGTATAATCGAAAACAATAATAATAATAATAAAAGAAAAACGAAAACAAACAGCCTATTATTAATATATATTTCTTCTCTTCAGTATTCTAATTATCCTACTTGCGCTTATTAAACGAAAGAAAAAAGTACCGAAACCTGATGATAAGTCCGAGACGAGACGAAGCGTCATCGAAAATGGTCAAAACCCATACCAGCTCACAGTTGTTTTATAATTCAGATAGTGTTTATACATTATACTTCTTAAAAACAAACAACAAACTTAGGCCATTTTTACATCATATTATTTGTCGAATTATAAAAATATGGCACCCCCTTACATTGTTCTTTTAAACCGAAATATATAACTTTGGGGGTTTAACGAAAACAAAAAAAAACGCTCTAAAATTAATCGAGTGCCCGAGCAACAGCGAAATGCGCACACCTTCGCTACATGAAGAAAAAAAAACAAAAAAAAATATCTCAACAACATTGTTTATACATTATACCTATTTTTAATCCCAACTATACAGCTTATACAAGTAAATGGTAATATTATTTGTCAAAAATAAATCTTCAAACAGCCTATACATAGATAAATGGCGTAGAGTTCGAAATAGCCGCGCGCGCAGAAGGGGCAGTCCGGGAGGCGAGAGGGCGGGGCTAACGGGAGGCCACGCCTTTTTATATTAAGAAGGCACGCCTCCCTTTCGTATTAACACAATTGGCTTATTTTCGTTTTGGCAGAACAGTTTGTACCTTTTATTTATATGGATATGATCCTTCATCGCGACGAGACAGAGAATGTCGCCAAATTTTATTTTAAAACCGAAAGATATATTTGTAATTATCGTATATATAAAATATTTGAGTCATTCAATAAAATACTCACAAACAAAAACACACAATCTTTTAGAAGTGTTTTGAATGGTTACGCAAATTTGTATATAAGATAAAGCCAGTGATACGCTGGTATCCATTTTGATTCTAAGGCAGTGGCATGTTTACAAAAACAATCTATATTTTTTTTTAGATTTCTCTTTCAGTGGTGCAATAACCAACTTTTTTTAGAAATGAACTCGCCACAAATTTATAGTTATGTAATATTTACTTTGTCATCTACAGGGTCGGACTGTGCTAGAGAGGCCCGGGTGTGATTTTTCGTCTTATATTTTGGACAATTTTTTCCCTATTAATTTATTGTTCGTGTTTGAAATCAGGGAACTACCCATAATGTAATGCAAATGTAAATATTGTTAATCCAAAAAATAGTTTTTGGGATAACTCAGAATATTATCATCATTTTTTTCTCATTCATTTCTACTGAAGATAAAATAATGAACTATTTTACATGAACGTCCTAAGACAGGGGGGCCCGCGAAGGCTGGCAATCCCCTGGCTATATGGCCAGTCCGACCCTGGTCATCTATACAAAAATAATAATAACGAACTAAATAGTTTTAAATATAGTATACATATTACAGTTGAGGGTTGGAACCTTTGGTGTTAAACAACAAAATAAAAACACTACTTCGCAACAATACACCAAAATACTTTACTTTTGCACTGGACGCGCGTTTCGCTAACCATGTTATGCGTTATCAGTTTTAATCATCTACTGATGATGCTAACATGGTTAGCGAAACGCGCGCCCAGTGCAAAAGTAAAGTGTTCTGGTGTATTGTGGTGCATTAGTGTTTCTATTTTGATAGTATAGATATCTATCATCTTTATAATTTATAACTCAACTCCAAAATTAATTATATTATTTATACAGTACCTAATATTTAAATTACTAATATTTTATATATTAACATATGGCTACTAAAATACCAATGACAGTAATGTGCCTCAAAATAAAATATCACTATTATTTTGAGTTTCTGGGAAAAAAAATATGTATTCTTTTTTAATTCCTTTTTTCAGCAATAATAAATTTGCCACAAAAGTATAGATATTTAATAATATGGTATGGTAAACAAATATCAACAAACTTTGACGACCTGCATCTTATTTGTTAATTTGGAAATACCAACATATGTACCTTATACATCCAAATACACAACAGTGACAATTTGTGCCTGTCGTTTTAATTCACAGGTTAAATTGTATTTTCTGTCATTTTTCGGATGAAATCTGTCAAAATTTTCCTTGACTTGGGCAGATTTTATATTCAATTATCCCATCAAACAGAAATATATTTTTTTCAATCAAAAATTCTAAAACGCCGATATAAAATTTGGAGACACCTCTAATGAGAATTTTATAAATAAAATACTCTTTTTAAAGACATGTAACCAATTATGATATGGTTTGTATCACTAAGAGCGTAAAATACGGCGATTACGAAATGGTATAATGCGGCTTGAGAACGAAAACGATAGGGCCTCGGCCTATTCGCCTCCCGAACAAGCGGACGCTCCACACATATAATTATTTTTTTTATTACTTTAAAAATTAGTATTAAGAGCTCGACCAATCACAGACAGTACTACGCGGGCTGAAACATGACAACACTGCCGCCAACACCACCATATTTACTTTTTTTTAAATATTTTTCGTTAAATTTTCGGCCGGCTCTAGGAACAACACTTAATAAATTTAATTCGCAAGAAGATTTCTATATAGTCTTTCCATAGAAATTATAGGGGGGGAGGGAGGAATATGTGGGGTACATATCGGAGTCCTTAATTTTTCAGTAAGCTCCCAGCGTTCGGGTCCGATTTGGCAATCGCGTAAACTATTTTTTTTTACTTTTTCTACGGACGCTCGAACGGTTCGCACGACAAAGTTAAACACCTAAAAAGTGCCACCGGGTGCGGGCAGTGGCGGAGAAACTGCGGTTCTCGCGTTACGAACGTGAGGGCGCGGCACTTAGGCTGGCACGCCTCGCGGTGGGCGGGACCGACAACCTACTTGGGTGATCGGGGCGTGGTGACGAAATCCCGCAGTTGCGATTGGCGCACCTCTGGTTTTCGTCGGAGCAGGCGCTCGTGGCCGCTCGATTGCCGACTGTTGGCGTTGACGCGGACTGCGGCGACTTTATGGCCGGTATCTGAAAATAAAAAGATAATACATGAGTCAATTATAGCTATTTCCGTAAATATTGATTTCTTCCGAAAAAATTTAAATTATGAAAGTTTTTTTTAGCAATTTTACTTGCGTGCATATTAGTAACATATATTCTGCAGAATAAAAATAAGTAAAAAAGTTCATATAAATGTATGTTCTAAAATGCTTAGTTTCGGAGATACAGGGTGTAGAATTTGATTTTTATTTTGATTTTTCCAAATAATTTCTGAAGCAACGTCAATATTTGGATGAAAATTGGTGTCTGGAAGTTTTTTGACAAGAGAAATGCGACTATGATGTCAATATGGCTACTACTTATAGGGGGTGCCACCAACCTATCTTTTAACTGGTTTGAAGAGTAATAAATTTTCGTTTGTACCTGTATAAAACTACTGAGTAAAAAATATACATTTACGACGTTTTTTTCGTAAAAAAGGTGTCCTGGTTAAAATCGCTACGAGTAATGGTTCTCGAGATATTTAGAATCTAAATTATCAATTCTTGTCTTAATTGACATAAACTAAACATGTTGACTAAATAGTTTTTAGACTGAAATCATAAATTTGGAAGGTTTTTGTGCCAAAAGTTCAATAGAAACTGTTTTATCATCATTTTTTTGAAAAAAATATGATTAATTTAAAAAAATAAAAAGTTTCCAAATTTATAATTTCAGTCAAATAACTATCTACTTACTCAACATTCTAAATATCTTGAGAACGGTTTCTCATAGAGATTTCTACCAAGAGACTTTTTTTACTTAAAAAATCAGGAAAATGTATATTTTTTCACTCAGTAGTTTTATACAGGTACGAACGGAAAGTTATTACTCTTCAAAACAGTTAACAAATATGTAGGTGCCGCCCTCTACAAGTAGGAGTCATACTGACATCAAAATCAAATTTCTCATGTCAAAAAACTCCCAGATACCAATTTTTATCAAATATTGACGTTACCTCAGAAATTATATGGAAAAAATCAAAATAAAAATGAAACTTCTACACCCTGTACCTTCAAAACTAAGCATTTTAGGACATACATTTATACAAACTTTTTTACTTATTTTTATCTGCAAAATATGCTGCCGAAGTTTTCGGAATACAGTTTCGACCACCCTGTATATTATTTTTATTTAACCTTTCGAGGGCTGTAATTTCTCCGAGAAGCATTTTAAGGCATATACATATGTTCATAGGAACTTTTTGTTTTATTTTTATCTGTAGAATCACTCACCGAAGTTAGATACACTATTTTTTAACACCCTGTATAATATGTTGGGACGAAAATACAAATTACAATTAAACCACGTCAATATCTACTACAGCTTACCTCGATTATCCCTAACACTACTATCACGTTCGCCAGCTTGCTGCTGGGGCGTGGCCTGCTGCCGCACCCCTTGGACCTGAGAGGCGGCAGGCGGACCGACGGCCGCGCCCTTCGAGGGGGCGGTCGCTACCGCAGGACACGCCTCCGTCACAGCCTTCTCCGGCTGCGGCGACTGCTTAACGGGCTTGCCCTGACTATCTTTGTGGTGCTGAGCCACTTGAGCGTAACTCATTCGCGGCGGGTGACCCTGTAAGTCCTGAAATAAAATTTGAAATGAAACTTTTTATTTTAAAAATGTGTCACAATAAAAATGAAAGAGTAATGGAAACGTACCGGTAAGGGTGGCGAAGGGACCTGCACTGGAACTGGGCACCCTCCTTTCGAGTCTTGTCTCGCGAATGTCGAATTCGTAGTAACGGTAGGCGTAGGCCTGGCAGGAGCATCAGTTTGCACAACCTGTAAAAGAAGACATAATAATATGCAGAAACTATAGTATGATCAAAATCTTTTATGGTCATGAGATAAAGGCAACATTAAAAAATTAAATATTAAATTAATTAAAAGTAGGTTATTTCTAAAATCATAATAAATTTAATATGTGAAATATTGAACGTACCACAGTAGTCATAGTAGCAGCATTAGTGGTGGTGGGACAGAGAGGAGCCAGTTCTGGTTCGCATCCGTTGAGTAGGACGTCATCGGTTTTCGTAGATTTATCGGCCATTGTGCACTTCGTAGGTACAGTCGCAATCACAGATTTACTGCTAAAACTAAAGAGACAATATATTTACATTAAATTCACTCACTTAGGGCCGTTTTAAAACAGTGCTTAAAACATGGCCGTAGGATGCATCGTGGCGAGCATCGCATCGAGATGGCCTACTATGTTTGTACCCTTAAAAAACAAATAGCTTGTAAATTTAAAAGATGTTGAAAACTTGACAATACAAATTTTCGAAGACAGCAATAAAAAATTGTGTAAAAGAGACATTAACAGAAACAGAAAGTACTCTCTACAAATGGGATTTTTATTCCTTACTGTGCAAATTATTTCAAAAGAAAACTTACTAAATGCAAATAAAAATATACTCCAAAGAAAATCAATATCACCAAATTATTTAATCTTAATAATTCTCTATCTGGAAGGCAAAAGAAATATAAATTAATCATAAAACAAAGTCTCTGACCCCATAATACTGCGCAATAAGTTTTATAAAAAAGTGCCTATTATTAGAATAATTACACTTAAAAAATTTAAGAGTTGATTGACTCTTTTGGATAAACGGAATATTAACAGAAAACTCTTTACTAGTATTTTTTCTATACTGAGTGATTATCCCAAAAAATATAAAATTATATAATTTTCACAACTTATAATTGAGGCGTTAAGTTGCAAAACCCGCCTTATCCATTTTTTTTTAAATGTCCTAATGACATATATTAAGTGGACCCTGAAGTCTAAATAAACATAATCCCAAACTGCAGTAAAAGCCGCCTATTCCTATATAAAATTCACTACAAATTACGTTACTGCAGCAAAATTCGTCTTATCCATTTATATTTGCTTTTTATTGTCCTTATTGGTACAAATTCCGCATTTTTTCATAAGCTTTTTACACAAGTATAATATTAGTGCTAACGTCTTTGCAAATCCTTACTTAATTTTAATAAAATAGTATATTTAATAAATCCAGTTAGGATGCAAATACCGTATGATCGAAAAAAAACGGCCTCCAGTTGGCGAGGAAATGACGATCGATGACATCTCCGTGCGTATTTTTGCGTAGACATACAGAAATTATCCGATCCAAAAAGAGAACCTTGGATAATATTTTTTAAGAAACACATACTCAGTTGAAAAAAACTTAGAAATAGTTTAGAATCCAAGACAATCAGATCGAAATGGATTAAAGAGGTCCATAGGAAGAAAACATTGATAGTTTTGAGCGAAAAAATAAAACAGTTTTCGAATATATTTTTGTAAATAGACAGTTAAGTCAATATCAGATTTTTATCGCCAAAATATTCTTCTAACTTTCACTATTAAATAGAGCGTTAATAAAAAGAATAAGTTCAATATTTTATTCCGAAAAGTTGCCAGAAAGTGACAATAGCAAAAACTGTTTTAACATTGGTAGTACCAATTTTGTCCTCTACCAGAACTAAAAAAAACTGTAGAAAGAGCTAAGATAAATGAGAAAATGGATAATGAAGAACTTCAAAATTTTTAAAAGTTGACAATATCACAGATTATACAGATTATAAACTTTGTTTTTTCTTTATTGTTTTTCGTGGTTCCAATTTTCGGAATCGGGCACTAGTTAGGTTACTAGTTTGCGCACATAGCACGCCCACTTATGGCCTATAAAATTGTGCACAGCACCTGACCGGCACAGTTATTAGAGAGATATGGGAAAACCGAATAGCGTCATGGAGTATTTACGCGTACCTTATCATGGTTACGATATGCGCGAGTCAATTTTTAACGCAACACCCGCTAATAACGTTACCGCCTGACGTAATTTGCGGATCAATTACACCCATGTACGGGTATTTGACAACCGGGGCCGGCCGGCGAGATCTTTTATTTTAGGTTATGTTTAAATTGTTTTGAATTATTACTTTACTTTTATTAGGTAATTTGATATTTAAGTAGCTGGGATTAGTTTTAATTAAATAAATATGGCTCAAAATATGGATTCCACCTCTTCCAATATTAAAGAACCTATAAAGAGGCTTAGGCTTACAGCAGATAACGACTTAGCCCTTCTAAGAGAATTTGTTGCTTGTTGCCCTAAACCCACTGGCAGACGTTGAACAATAAAGCACTGGAAATAAGCACGTTAGCCCTTTAGTTTTAAAATACCTAGTAAACAAAACAATTTCAAAGTTTTAAATTCAAAGTGAGGTTAAGTTTAAGTAGCGGACGCGACGCGAACAGAATTCTTTCCGATCCGATAACTATAAATAAATGAAGAGCGTTAATACCACCTCACGTAAAGGAAATAACACCTGGCCTTATTAATGTCCATGCCCGCTATTCGGTTTAGCGATATCTCTCTATTACACTGTTTATTGTTATTTTACGCGAGTTTATTTTTGCGCACAGGAAATTTTACTCGTTTGCACATTGTCATAAAAAACAATTTTCGTACCACGAATTAGGGATAAGATTTTTATCTGTATACATATAGTATACCTAATCTGTGATAATATGAACATTACATAATATGTGACAGTAAATAAAAAAACTTACTTTTGTGGCGACTCGGGAGGCGTCACACCCATAAAACTGTTCACCTCCGCTATACTACCTTCGTCAACCTTCTCCACGCTCTGTTCTTTCGCCGAACTCGTCAGCGAAATCTCGTTGTCCCCTCCCCCGATGGCCACGTCCTTGCCCAATCCTTCCCCCCTAACTTTTACCTTAGCTACCCCTTTAACCACGTCGGCCAGACGGTTCTCCCCCCACGCGGCTCCGGCTGCTCCTCCTCCGCCACCGCCTCCGACAGTCGCGGGCTCTTGCGCAGCAGCTACCACGCCCACGGGGGCGTGGTTAGATATCGTCTGCGTCGAGCCTTCGGCGTGCGACTGCGTTTGTTGCGCTTGGTGCGTGTGCTGGTTGTGGTGATGGTGGTGTTTGGCAGAGAGAGGTCCATTAGCGTCCAGACCTATTTTAAAACCATACTGATAAAGAAATCCATAAAAAAAAAGAAAAAAAATTCTAAGAGCTGTTTACATTAATATTTCAACTGTTAAGGCGGAGATTGGCTTGAGTCGAGCGCTGAAACGTAACGCATATTCGCTGTTCGTTTTGTTCCCAATCTAAACGAGAAAACCTTGTTTCGAATACTCAGTTCGCTGTGCTCCAGTATTTTCAGCCTTTAAAGAATGCCAAGCCTTAGTACCAGGGTACAATGATTTAAATCAACTTGATTTAAATCATGATTGAAATCAACGGATTTTTTTATTTTAATCATGGATTTAAATTAAAAAAATCAGCTTGTTTAAAACTTATCATAAATCGAAAGATAACTGTAAAAATTATAAAATCTTTTCCTATAAAGCAAGAAAAAAATATTCCTATATCAAATATATCCTTATATTCATCAAATAAGTACAAAGTTACACTTGCTGTTGTAACGTTAAAATACTTTAATAGATTGAGAATATATTCATCTATTAAAATGTTCGACCGATTTTTGAAGTTATTTCGTGTGAATTCATTACACTTCTAAATGGCAGAGATTTATTTTGAAATTGTGAAGTGCCAGAAATCCGGTATTTGGATACATTTCATTCACAAACTCTAGTGCAGGACTAGTTTCTTCTGATGTCAGGTTATATTTTTATTCTCGAAGATTAATCAATGTCAAAAGATAAGCTGGAGTCAAGGCTGTTTTATACCTTTCTTGAAATAGGTGAATCAAACTTCCGTTTTCTCCCTAATTTATCTTCTAGTTCATTTCAAATTTCTACCGACATTTTGTTCTGCAATAAGTACTCTGCACTTTGAACATTAGATGGCACTAATTTTATTCTCGACTTAAGACAGTCATGACTATTTCCAAAAAATGCCTTTGATCTAAGCGGCCGATTTTTTGGCGGAAATAGGAGCATCGGCAATGTCTACAGAATAAAATATATCGGTGACCGATGTGGAAAAACATCACGCGCCGTACAATGTTAATATTATCGATATCAGGCAGAGTTACGAACATTTAGCCATTTAGGATAGAACTTAAATAGAAAATTGATTAAAATAAAAAAATCTGATTAAAATAAAAAAAAATCATGATTTTTCGCACCCTGCTTAGTACCACAAAAATATGACTGGAATACGGACGTTCGCCGAACCTGTACTAACTTGTACTGTAGCAATTCGCTAAAAATTCGAACGTCGAGTGAAGCACAGTTGTTAGCGAACCTCTCAGTTCGCCGACTATTTCCCGGCATTGACTAGCGAATGTTCGTTCTGTAACACGTTATATACAACGCTCGGCTCAAGTCAATCTCTGCCTTTAAGAAGAGTGACCAATTCTATCAGAAGAAAAAAATTACCAGGTAAAGGAGGAAACGCTTCGTCGACGAAATCGAATTGTGACTTGACCACTTGACTGGACTGCGTCTGAGTCTGCGCCGAACTCTGTCCGTTCGTGTGTCCCGTCCCGTTTCCCGCCTCCTCGTCGCGCTTTTTCCGCCTGTGCCGCGGCGGGACCACTTCCTTCACGCTGAAGGGAGGCGGGGCGACGAAGCCGTACATTTCCATTCGGTTGTCGCTCGGATGGGGGAAGGGTATGGCGCCTATGGGCGGTATCGCGGGGATATAGTGTCCGCCCACCGGTTCCGGCGGCTCGATCGGCGTCCTGGGTATCGCCCCTTCCCCGCCCATTTTGGAAGACGTCTTCGCGTTGCCGTTGTTGTTGTTGTTACTGCCGTTGGAGGCGTGGCCTGACGACGCCGACACCGTCGGGTAGTGCTGGTGGTTGTGGTGGGCGTGCGCCGGGGAAGGGACTCGGTGGGCGGGACCTTGTTGCGACGCCGACGTGGCACGAGGCTGTTGAGTGTTTGAAGGACCCTAAAAAATTGAAACAATAAAGTTGTATTTATGAAATCTATTTGTTATTTAGAATCCTAAAATTTGATTAAAGCTTGATTTTCATGCATCCGTTGTCTGCGGATATGATGATATGATATTTATTTTATTAATTGAATTGTTTTGTTGTTTAGAAAATTACGCAGTTTTTAAGTTTATTGCATTTTCATGCCTCCATTCATTGGATGTACGATTTGCTTGTGATTGGTGTCATTGTATATTTTCATTTCCATAACTATTTCGCTGTTTTACTTATCGTCTAAGAGCTAGAAACGTTTTCGAGAGAGAATTTTAAGAAAGCTGGTTATTTAATATATCTTTTGCTATGCTCTCCTGAACAGAGTGCGGACCGTCTAGTTGCCGGTGGACGTTGCGTTCACTACTGCGTGTCATATCTGTATTCAACATCTGTTCACTACTGCGCAACACAAATTCGCCCTGTATTTCAGGAACTAAGGAGGCTAGGACAAACATACGTGTAGCATATATAGTTTCATAAAAAAGTAGTAAAGTAATGTGAAAATCGCATCATTGTATCTCTACTCATAAACGAGAAATCCAATAAAACATACGAAAATAGGATACTCTGTACAGATGTGATGTGCAGTAGTAAACCGCAGTAGTCTACCGACAGCCAGGCGGCCCGCATTTTAGTTAGAAAAGCACAGGAGAGTATAGCAAAAGATATAAGGTTAGTCTAGGGTCTAGGCTGGCAAAGGTTAGTCTTGGGTCGAGATTTCCGTATGTAAGAAGAGTACAATGCGTTTATAATGTACTGAATAAAGAGAGGACAATAAACACGTTGCCAAACGTATGAAATAAACCGAGTAACTGTGCACATCGCTAAGAGACGTGGAAGGGGATATAGCAGATTTGTCGCAGTTGACCGGTCGACCCAATCAATACCTCTGTCAGTACTTAAAGTTCTAGGGAAAGGTGTACGTCATGCGTTCAGCTTCACGATTTAATTACGTCTCGTGATACTTGATTTGTTTATTTATTAACGAGTCGTTGTAATTTTCCCTATAGCTTGAATTTTTTTAAGTGCAAGCTAGAAACACTTGCATTTTTAGTAAAAATAAGTGGAATTGAGTGGGTGTTCGATAGTGGTGGCGCTATTAGAACTCTGAATTCAAAAATCGATATCTCGAAATCTATTAGAAATAATAGATTGTAGTTTTTTCAAGAACTTTGTTAATATTTCTGCTGTATTTTCTTTGTAGACAGTTATGTGAAAATCTTTATCAATAAAAAAATTACACAATTGCTGAAAATTGCTATGCCCTAAAAGTAAATGGATGGATTGTTTACAATTTTTGAATGGAAAAAACAACCTTATCGAATTTTTCTTATGTAACATATTGTAAAATATCCGATCTTGAAAATAAAAAAAAGTTTCAATATCTTGAGTGGCCTGTTATGTGTTAAAAAGTTGAGTTTTTAAATTATCTGACGTTTATTGAATTATCATCTTAAACTGACGTTTTCTCATTATAAAAAAAATGACACCCTAACGATATCCTTATAATTCCATTTCAGATGCTCAGAAACATTACAAACCTAATGATTTTATGTAGTTATCTCTTTAAAAAAAAGTCTTTTAAAAATAAGCGGTTTGCGATCGTGATTTTACTTTACTTGATAGGGAAAGGCGTATCGGCAACGCCGCAACAGGACACCGTCGCGCGTCGCGTCGGTCGGTCGCATTTCTCTCACTCCGACTTAATAAGATCCCTATGCGATTTACTTCCACACATGTAAATGCCGACCCAAAAGTAACAGTTGCCAGCACGGTATTAAAGAACCAGCTTTCTTAAAATTCTCCCGACGGTGCTAACCCTTGCACTATTATATTTTTATTAAGGTTAGACTAAATTTGTCAAAGAAGTGTTAAAACGTCCGTTTTCGTACGATCTTCCTACGTTGACGGGCTGGAGTAAAAAATTTACGGATTAAAAGTGGCGCGAAAACGCTATGACCAATCAGAGCGCCGTTGGACCATCATATCAACGGATAACGGACGCATCAAAATCAAGCTTAACGCGTTTTCCAGTAATGGCAGTAAACATTATACCTTTACAATAATTAACTAAATTTTGTTAGTAGACATGAAATAAATACCTGCTGTTCGCTGGGTCCACTTTGCTGTTGTTGCTGCGTGTTGCGTTGTTTGTTCCTCGGCCTCGGCTGCGCGGATCTGTATGTCTGATGTTTAAAAGGTTGCGCAGACAGACCGTTCGCCGAAAACACGCTGCTTAAATCGAAAAAGCCGGCACCTGATGGTGCCCAGGCCACATAAGCGTTTGGATACTGTTGCTGCTGATAGGCGCCCTAAAATATGTTTTTTTAATTCACCGTTTCGTTCATTAGTTTGAAAAATGTAGAACTTAATTTAAGCAATAATTAATTTTAAAAATTTCACAAAAAATTCTATTAATATATTACTTCCTAAAGCTTCATTTAGAACCTCGCAATTAGTGGTTTCAATTAGCGTAGAAGTTTGTTCTCTTAATAGTGGTAGACATTTTTAATAGAAAAAGGTGTCAAACTTTTAACTTTTCCACTAATTATACTTCAAAATTTGCGAGAAAAGTCATTTTGGCCTTTGATTATCTTCTGTCCAAGCAATTTTTTTAAAATTTATTGTAAACTTACGTAGATTATGGGGTTGTAAGCGGCAGGAGCGGGGGCTACCGGCTGTCCTGGGGCACCGTTCGCATAAACGAACCTTTGCTGTCCGGGGGGAAAAGCGGCCGGATCGAAAACGGCCTGCGGAGGGGGCGTAGCCCTGAAGCCGTTCTTGGGGGGCGGGGGAGGAACCAGAGGCGCGATCGGCCTGCACATCGGTTTCGCTTTGATGCGCGCCATTATCGGACGGCCCTAGAAAATTAATTAATCGTTGATTATTATAATTATTTTTTGAAGATCAAGTGCAAAAAGTAGGCTTATGCCCACTTGCACCGTTTGTATAATCTTTGTTTAAAGGCTAAACATTTATTAACTATAATAAAATATTATACAGTTAATCACTGTTTAGCCTTTAAACGAAGTTTATACAAACGGTGCAAGTGGGCATTAGTGTTTAATTAGACGAAAACTAAGTTTATGGAGTGGTCAGATAGGGTTTTTGAGAAGGGAGGATGTCTACAAATAAATTCTGACAGAGGGAAACGATACATACATACTACATACATACTGCCATTACTCGCTGACGAGTATTCGACACGCATCAGAAGATAGTCACGCAAGGCGTTTTCTTTCATGAGCTTTTCTGTGACTGAAAAGTCCGATACGTGATGTTATTTGTCTACCGCAGTCCGGACATTCAAAAATCTCATTGCTTTGTTGCCTCTTTACTTTTTCGTTGTCGCTGTTAACTGAGTTTACAATCCTTCTCCATTGCGTTCTATTGTGAGCTGCTGCTTCCCACTCATGTTTAGAATAAGAATAAGTGGGAGGGGGGTTAATCTCTGCGACTTTAGAGATCTATTGTGTCCCCTTTCTTGAGTTATAACTCATCATACAGTCCCAGGACTTCCTACGGAGACCCGTCCCTCACAGTCGAGGAGCTACGACCCAGGCCGGGTAGACGAAACGGTAGCTTGTGTCGCCTTGTTGGGTTTAGAAGTAGGAGGTAGGCTCCCGACCCTTGGAGGAGGTGGTAGCTTGTATGCCACTTGCGGAGGATGGTCTCACGCAAGTGTCAGCCACCTCTCCTGTAGTTCTCTTTGGTTTGGCCCCTTGGAACTTTCATTTTTACTGTTCCCAGTGTCGCTAGGGGGTTTCCCCACAGCTTCACCGATGATGTTTTTATTACTATTATTACCAGATCTCATAGTGTTCCTATGAGTCGCTAGGGACAGTCGGTCCACTTCTACAGAGCCCCGCATGTAGAAGTAAGGGGTAAAATACAATGGGGTGCCCCCCGGTGCCCCAAGGTTGAGGCTGTCCGTAGCCCCGCCCGGTATCGTTATATCTCGGTGCAATTCCCTGGCCACGACACTACAGTCAGGGACAAGACGATGAGTGAGATGCTTCATAGACCAAGCCAAGTGCTAGAGGGGATTCCCCCCAGCACCTGACCAGGAGCTTCCCCACCAACGACAAGGTCTTGCATCTCCTAGGGGAAGTCCCACTCATGTTAATCCCCTTTAAGTTTTCGTGGAAAATATCCTTGAACTTTTTGAGTTGTCTACCCGGCCTCCTCTTACCGTCTACAAGCTCACCGTACAACAGAGATTTTGGTATGCGGTTTTCTTGCATTCTGCACACGTGACCAGCTCATCTTAAGCGGGATTGTGTAATCATGACCTCAATACTGTCGCAGTTAGCTTTTTCAAGGACCGATACATTTGAGACATAATGGAACTATTTGATTCTTAAGAGTTGTCTAAGGTGTCTCTGTTGCAACTCGTTTAATGCGTTCATGTGTCGGAGGCTCTACACCCAGGTTTCGCTTCCATATAACATGGTGGAGATTATTATTGCTCGGTACACTACAAGTTTCGTTTATGTGCTCAAGTCATGATTGTAGAAAACGATACATATATAAGTTTGAAGAAGTAGATACATTCACATATCTAGGAACTGTACTTATAAGGAAACCAAACGAAACTCAGAAAACCATGTCGAGAATAATGGCACGCAATAGATGTGTAAACACACTACAGAGAATTATCAAGAGCAAGAATGTCTTTAGAAGTTTGAAGTCAAAATGTACCAAACGATGATACGACCAATATGCATGTGAAACGTGGACGTTCAATGCAACGGAAAATTCGAGGCTAGATATGGGAAAGGAAAATACTGAGGAAGATTTTTGGAGAAAAGAAGATAGACAACATGAGGACTAGAAGAAGAAACGAAGAAATAAAGCAAGTATATCGTGCACCGAGTATAAAGAGAGTAGCAAGAGCACAAAGACTAAGATGGCTGGGACATATTGAAAGAGTAGTTGAAACAAGAGTACCTAAAACAATAGTGAGATAAAATAGGTGGAAAGAGAAGGAGGGGTAGACCAAGAACAAGATGGAAAAGGATAAAATAGATGGAGAATAAAGGTAGACAAAAATAAGTGGAGAAATTATAACTAATCAAGCCATGAGCGTTTTAAGCTTTTAGAGCTATTTTATATTTAATATTAAATTATTGCAATAGTCTTTAAGGTGAATATTTACCTGAAATTCGCGCACTTCCTCGCGGAGGAAGCGGTAGGCCTTTTGGGCGTCGTCGTCCGATTCGAACGTCACGTACCAGGAGCCGTTGTGAGCAAATTCGCAGGAAATCACACGTGGACAGTTCTCGCCAGAGAACAAGTTCTGAAACAAAATCAAAGTCAGATTATAATATTGAACTAGAAAAATATTAAAAAATCTTTCCTTGAAGATAATTCTCAAAAAAAAAACATTTTTTCAAAAAAGTCTGAGTTTTTCGCAGGTTTGGCATGATTTAAATCAAATTATTTAAATCATGATTTAAATAAGTGATTTTTTTTGTGAACTATTTTAAAACTTTATAATAAATCGGAAAATAACTTTTCGTATAACGAGATACGTATCTATACTAATATAATAAAATCCATAAGTGACTGACTCACTGATTAATCACGATCCTGCTCAAACCACTCAACGTAAAAAGCTCAATTTTCGCATACAGGTTAATTCTAGGGTGTAGAGGTTCGATAAGAAGGGATTTTTCGAAATTCCAGGTCCAAGGGGTGCAACAAGGGTGCAACCACCCCTCAAATATTACAATATTTTTTATTTAAAAAACGGTCAAGTTTCCGAAAAAACGCTTAAACACGTATATTTTATTTTGTTTTTTACATATTTTAAGATTTTTAAAATATGTTATACAGGGTGTTTCGAAAAATCTGGTCATTGATTAATCACGATCCTGCTTAAAGCGCTTGACGTAAAAAGCTGATTTTTGGAAAACGAATTGAATTTAGGGTGTAGAGGTTCGATAAGAAAGGATTTTTCGAATTCTAAAGGGGGTGAAACCACCCCTCAAATATTAGAATATTTTTTATTTAAAAACCGGTGAGTTTTTCGGAAAAAACTCTTACACACGTATATTTTATTTTATTGTTTTACATATTTTAAGATTTTTAAAAAATTTATAAAGGGTGCTTCATAAAATATGACCATTGAGTAATCACGATTCTGATTAAACTGCTTGACGTTTAAAGCTGATTTTTGGCAAACGGATTGACTGTGGGGTGTAGTGGTTCGATAAGGAGGGGTTTCTCGAATCTCAAATTCCAAGAGGGTGAAAACGCCCCTCAAATATTACAATATTTGTTATTTAAAAAACGGTTAGTATTTCGGGAAAACGCTTGGACACGCATAATTTATTTTGTTTTTTTTACACATTTTGAAATTTTTTAAAAAATCATACAGGATGTTCCAAAACGTTGAGTAATTGATTAACCACGATTCTGATTAAACTGCTTGACGTAAAAAGCTTATTTTTGGCAAACGGATTTTTCCAAAGTCAAATTCCAACGAGATGAAACTGCCCCTAAATATTACCAAGTTATATAATAATACATATCGCCATATTGTTTTTTCTCATGCTGACATAAATGTGAGAAAATTTTATCCAGTTTGTATGTTAATGGAAATTCTTGCTTTGCTTTATCATCACCATTACAAATGATTAATTCGACGCGAACGAAGTCGCGGGTACACGCTAATTATTTATAAAAAACTGTTTTAGTTCATCCAGCTATGGTAAGATTATAATACGACACCTTACACCCTTCTTATCATTATATTTCGGAAGTATACCTAACATCTTTTCTGAATTTTTTTTAATTTCGTCTGTGAAAATCATACGTATAGTTATTCTCTCCTATTCTTTATAATTTTTTTTTTGGTTTTCCTAAAATTTTAGGATTAATTTTGTTTCTTCTCCGAAAGACCGTCATCAACTTTTATTTTCTATTCTAATCGATTATGTATTTCTAAAAGAAACTAGAATTTATTATTCCTGTCACCGTGTGTAGGTCGACATGATAAAACTAGGAAGTCGGGACATCAAATATTAATCCAGACGAATATCGAACTTTGCAAGATAGCTTTACGGAAATTTGACGATATTAAGCTAGAATCCATACAAAAATTTTCGGTTGAAATCTTAAACCTGTTTTTTTTTAAACAAATAAATATTGTTTTTTCCATAGCAATTGTTAAAATTGTCTGATATCTATTAAAAATAGTAGATAAAATAGCACTTTAACCGCAAGGGTAGATTAAATGATACTTTAACAGTCAGGATTGGTTAAAAACTTAATTTCTTCTCGCATGTTTTTTAATTGTCTCCATTTTTGAAAATTTTTGTATTTCTTTTCATAAGTTATTCGGGATTTAAATGAAAGTAGTTTGGATATGGCGTTTGTCGCCTCAGCCTGAATATCTGTTGGTAATTTACTTATTTCGTTTTGAGCCATTTCTCGCTCCAATTCAATCAGCAATCGACACGAAAGAGAATTAAAAAATATTGACTCAAAACTGACAACTAAAGAGACAGCTTTATTTATTTGTCAAATTACATAGAAACCAACGCCAACCCAGCACAATATTTTTTCTACTCGTAACAAATTCCTTGAAATAATTTCTGAATATTTTTTAAAACGTAACTCGCTATGAAAAAAAAATATTGTTTTATACACGACGATAAAATTGCATTATCGTCTCCCGAAATTAATTCACTCGCGATTTCATCGTTCCTGAATTAATCTTTTCGGTAGACGATAAAATACCAATCAACTTTACGGTCTTGGTGCACAAATAACTATTTTGTATGAATTTTATTTGACACTTGTCAAAACTCAAAGTAAAAGAAGTAGCAACATTGCATTCGTCAAATATTTCGATGACATGCCCACCAACTTTCATTGATTTTTCTATACATAATATTATATTCCAAACTAAACTTTGATATTTTATTATTATATCGTTAAATTAAAACGCGATTTCGAAAAGCCGTTTTAGAACGAGATTTGAGCGCGAACATGTGGGCGTTGGCGTCTGCTTTCTCGTTCGAAACCTATCGAAATAACGACAAATATAATAGGAAAAGAAAAACAATTACGCGCGCTACGTAAAAGGCAAAGTAGGAATAGATCGATCCGCGTCTTAATTGCTCTTTTGGATACACCCGGATCGTGAGAAGATTGATATAAACTCGAAACTAGATCGCTTTAAATGCTAAAGAGCTATAACCATTCGGTAATAATATTAAAAATTATAGATATGAGAATTCATTGATAAATTCCGCTTTTCTTTACACAAGTCAACATACAGACTTGGTTATTCTCTTAGTTATTCTAAATCGGTGCGGTATTGCCACATGTTCCATAAAACAATTTAATAAATAATTAAATACACCAAGAAAGTATTTCGAGTTCTAGCAAGTTCTGGAAAACCTACCCTCGTATAACTAATTCTGAGAATTGCTGAAAATATCAGAGAAACCTTGCCAATTGAATTTCAAGAAAAAGATTTACGATAAAAGAACAGAGTTCCAAAGAGTTTCCAATATATTTCCTAAAATTTGATCTTAACTTCGATTCGCGAAAAAAACCTTGCAAATTAAATTTTGTTTCGGGACATTCCACTTGAGAGTCCAATTTCTGAGGTCGATTATTCGTTATTGTTACTAGCTCTTATTTAATTTGTAATGTTTGTATGTAAGTTGCCCGTTTCAAAACGTTGGAATTATTTACAACTACTTTTCAACTATTTCCATAAAAACGATTTTTTATGAAACTTGGTACACAAAATATATTTTTTTAAGTTAACTATGGATGCTTATCCGTCATGCGTCGTCTGTGTTTAGACAGTTTTATTGGTTTATTTCAAAAATGACAGACCATATGTCAATATAGTTGGAGTGACAAGACGATGGGAGACGCATGGATGCAGATGCATATAACCTCAATTAAAGATTATTGAAACTTGTCAAACACTTATCTATTGATATTTATTTACTGATATTTAAATAAAAAGACGGTATTATTATTATTATAAATAACCAGTGTCCTGGAAAGTGGAAAATATTTGCGAGATTACGTTGATGTAAATAATAACTGTTTATATATTTATAATTAATTTATTTTTATTTCCTTAAGTTTACAAAAAAAAATCTAAACATAATCTCGTATATATCGGTACTGAAAAACTGGAGTAGCTTTAAAACAACGCCATTGTACGATAGGTATAGCTTTTAGAAACTACTTTAGAATTAAAATAACAGACACTGTCAAGGATTATCTCGTTGAAGAGACTATACCTATGTCGGAAACTCTTAAGTTCGCATTTTAAAACCTTGTCTTTGAAACTGCGTTGTTACTTTTAATTTATTTCTACTTAGACGTTGGGTCTAACAGGTGGTTTTGGGCATAGCCAATTAATTAACGCTTTAAGTAGCATACTCATCGTACTTTCGCAAATCTCAAAACGCCCGATGGCACTCCCATCTAGTCTACTTTCTTCTTGTCCATTTCATAAACATAGGCTCGTCAAGATTTCGACTAACAAATTCACTTTTTTTTACGCTAGACTTGATCAGATAACAATAATATTTGTCAAGAAAATTGTGATTCTTAAAAATAAATTAAAATAATTATAGTAAACGGAATTTTTATTATTTTAATAAAATATGTTTTTTTTTTAACTTGCAGCCTCAGATTGGCGATTTGATAGTATTTTGGTCGCGTAACAATTTATTTCATGGTTGTGCAACCCTAGGTATGAGCTGGGCAAGACCAAGACAAAGACCAAGCAGTGCAAGACTAAAGCCGATCCTACATTATGCGTCCAACGTTGGTTCCAACCGTTGATTGAAAGAAGTGGAAAATGGGCAATCTAATGGGCGAATTCGCGACAAGGCTGATTTGATTTCCCCTTACGTTTCAAGTGCTGTACGGTGGAGACACCAATCGTTCTGCGACCATCGCATAAAACACTTATTTTCTCTAATTCGGCCAGCGAAGGCATATCCAGTGCGGAACTGAGTTGTGCGACAGTGTTGCCATATTAAAATGTGTAATATCTGTAATATGTTTGACGAAAATATCTTTGGATTAAAAATCCGCGTTATGTAATGAACATGTATTCGTGTCAAACATAGAATAAACAACAAAAATAAAAATTCTTTTATAGGTACTGAATATCGTCAGTGAAACGTGATAACCTGCTAACTCCATTTTTTACGTTAATAAGTTTTTTTATACCATTAGAAAGAGAAAAAAATACTCTATAAATAGGGAAAGCAAACACATTTTTTCCCATTGAAGAATTTTTTTTTTATT